GCGTCGGCATCCCCGGGGCTCTGTTTCCCCAGCTGTAATGGAGGGGGAGGTAAAAGTGGCTCTTTTCCACATAGCTATAAAAATGAGGATAGTGTACAAAAACTACAATGTTTTTATAGCTCACCTGAGATTTGAGCTTGTCTGTAACAACTTTAACAAAGTCATGTCCTGGCAATAAAATCACTTTTGTATAAACTGCTGTAAAAGTAGTGATTTAACAGTGCCATACTTTTGCATAGGTTGGAGCAGCTTTGCCTGTTGATGTCTTAACATACGAGGAAAAGAGTATGTCTGCAATATTAAGGGTTATTAGCAGGTAAGGTACACTACTATATAGTATATGACTACTGCAAGGCAGGTATGCATTAGACTGTGAGCTAGAAGTGTGGTAATTGATATGATCCATGTTCTGTTATTGACCTTGCTTTGTTCGTATCTCTGTAAAATCAGCCTAGAATGTTAATTTACTTTCTCATTTTTTCATCAGGAATATAATTCTCTGAAGCTCGGTTTCAGTACTATTTGGGAGACATTTTTAGGTTGCTCAGAATATCACTGGTGCTGTTTGTATGCAATTTCCAAAGAACCAAGACTAACTTGAAGAGCTAAGCATAGAGCATGTGATAAACAAATGAAAATTTACTAAGATTTAAAAACATATGTTTAAAAACATAAGATCAGTGTATTATTTCTGCTTAGAACAGAATAGTCTGATGAGAATTGAGTGCTGTTGAAATATGTAAGTGTAAATCCCTTTCCATAGCAATAGAAGGCAGTGCTTATCAGATGTAAATGGTGAAGATAACAGCAGGTGAATTAGAGGAAGAAGCTTAAAGACACAGAAAGAATTTAAGAAAAAGGGCCATAACGTATTTGACATTTGACAAGGTTACAGTAAGCATCTCTTGTGAGGAGGAGAAGAGACTGCAGTGATTACATGACTCTTTGGGGCCTAACGTTACTACCTGCTGAAAAATGACCTTCTGTTAAACTCCGTTTTCGTTGCTGTTTGTGTAACATATTTATTTAAGCTGTTTATGCTGCAGGAAACCCGAGACAGACAAATCCTATTAATCTCGTTCGTGTTCTTGTTACCCAGTGGCTTTGTCAAGCTGTGGAGCGCTCTCACGCTGCTGGGCTTCTACCAGAACAGACGGTGCGCCTTTCGAGTGCTGCAGGTAAACACGGGAGGCCACGTGGCTTCCCCGACATGTCACTTCTCACAGTAGGATCACCTGGCTCTTTGAGTACGCAGCCTTTTAACACAAAGGTGGCTGACGCACAGAAACCTTTTCCTTTGGGAATAAAATGCTTTTTACTACAGGTATGCAGGCCTGCGTTTAAGTAATCCCATTCTTAGTACTCTTAAATGAATGATCTAAACTTGTCACTCTTAGGTTGTCTGCTACTTCCCTGCAGACTAAAATGAATATGATTTTTAAAATCAAACTGTGATGGTTGTCTCCTCATCTTATATTTTCACTCTAGTGACAAGTTCTGATCTCAGTAGCAGATCTGAAAAAGATGAAAGCTTCATTCTTGGCCCGCTTCTTGGCCCAACCTTTTATTTCCTCTACCCCATTTTTCCTTCTGCTAACAGTCAGCCGTCCTTGTTTAAAATGCCTGTGTCAATGTGTGCCTCCAGGGCTTAAACTTTTCCTTAGGATGTGGTTTCATAAAATGAGTTCCAAGATTCTTTGCATCAAAAGTGATGGCCAAACAAAAATCTGCTTGGACTCAGACTTTTAAGCTTTTAATTTAAGGGGAAATCTTAAGTTTTTTTCAGCTCTGCTTTGAATGATTTTGATGGCTTTTGTAGTTTTTGTAGTGCTTCACTGTGTTTCTTTTTTTTTTTCCTAACTAGACGTCTCCATTTCTTCTTGCATTATCTGGGAACAGTAGAGAACTAGTATTGGACTGATTATGCAGTTGCTGGTTTGGCTGTAAGAAGCAGAAGTTGCTTGAGATGTTGCTGGTCTTCAGGCGTGGAATTTCTGGAGGGAATTTGCAGCAAAGAGCCTTGACAAAACGTGTAGTTACCACCTCACTCCTTGGATGTCCCTTACTTCGACACTTACATATAAAAGTTGGAGACAAAGCTGAACTTACCAAAGCTTTTACACAGAATGATGTTGTTACTTTTTCTGATTTAACAGGTGACACAAATCCTTTACATTTAAATGAAGATTTTGCAAAGAAGTCTAGATTTGGGAGAACTATTGTACATGGAGTTTTGATCAATGGACTTATTTCTGCAGTTCTAGGTACTAAAATGCCAGGCCAAGGTTGTGTATTTCTTTCTCAGGAGATCAGATTTCCATCTCCTTTATATGTTGGTGAAGAAGTCTTAGCTGCAGCAGAAGTTAAACGACTGAAGAGATCTGTTGCACACATTGCTGTATCGTGTACGGTCACAGAAAGTGGAAAGACTGTTATGGAAGGGATGGTGAAAGTCATGGTAGAGGAAAATTAGAGCTTTTCATGCTATGCTACTTAATAGTAAAGGTCAGAAACATGCTTGCTTTTGACTCTGTCCTTTTACATGACGATACTTAATCCAGACACTTTTCAACAAAACCTTTTAAGTGTTTAAGAGACCGCATACAAACTGATAACAACTGCATTAAGAAACTTCATTTTTTTCCAAGGGAGTCTGACGGAACTGAGGCTTTTAGACAAGCCTTTGCCATGCTGCAGCGATGGACTTCTATTGTGGTTATTTTGGACAAAAACATTTTGAAGGAAATGGAGGCTGGTTAAGATCAGTTAAAACTTTTTCACTTCACTTTTCGGTTTACAGAAGAGTTGTATTGATAACAAAAATCTTGAGGAGGGGACAGTGCTGCTCTTTAACAAGCAAACAAAGAGATGGAGGAAAAGGGTACTGATGCACATACTGCAGGATTTCTCTGTGTAATGTATATACCAGTTCCATCTGATATTGGTGCAGTGAACAATGTGCTAACTAATAAAGGTCTTAGCCCCATAAATAAGCAGTAGTCAGCTTTAATGTAAGCAATTTCATCTCCCTGCTATATCTTTAACTTGCACCTCTCAATATTTTCAAATTCTTCAGTTACCTTACAAAACCTGATTGTAAGCAAACCAAGAAAATCACCTTAACTGCAGATTGCCGTGGAAATTTGCCTCCTAGAAGTGCAGCTGAGTGAAGGAAGACCTAAGAAATCTTATATATGTGTGTATATATATATACATACACACACACATATAATAAGTATACACATATAATAAGTATATACATATACTTTCACTCGTTCCTTGTTCATCTGCCCCTCTAGGTCTGAAGTTACTCTGTTTATGCCTATTAACTCAGTCAAATCTGAGGAAGAGGCAGTAGGTGAGAAACTAAGGCAGTAGTTAAATCTGTATCTCCCATCCCGAGTAACAGTAGAGGGAGTACTGGGGCTATTGTGTGAAGAGCCGGGATATATTTCTGTTCTGGCCTGAGATCCAGGTGCTTAATCACAGTGTAGCTCATTTTCCTGTCAAGGCAGAGTTAAAGCGGGGACTATTTGCACTATTCCAAGCGTATGACAAATGCTCGCTCTGCAGTCTTGCTTACCACAACTTAGGTGAAATTTATTCCTGTTAAATAATTAACTCCTGCAGCGTAAAAATACAAGTGAGTACTGGGGCAGCAGGTTTCCATGCCTGCAGTTCTGGTGTTGTGCACCGCTGCCCTGGAAGGAAATGAAGTTACCGTCAGATTGAGCCCCACAGTCTCAAATCTGTGCTTACAAAGATTGACATTTAGCTGCAAAAGTGTAAAAACTGAGAGGTAAACATAAAATAAAATGGGAAATATAGAAACTCTCTCGTTACCTGCGCCGCCCT